GCGTGAATCGGATTATTTCCGTGGCTCGATCGGGCCCGCGATAAGGATCCGAGGACGGCGGGCGCAACCGGAGGCCACGGAGATCGGCGATTTCCCGATCCCGGTATCAGGAGCGCGCCGCGCGAGGAAACGCTAACCGTTCCTAAACGTTTCTCGAACCGGCGCGAATTGCGGGCACCGCCGTTACCCCGGGGCGAGGAGTAAAATTAGATCGGCGCGAATCCTTTCGCGGGCCAGGTATAATCGGCGATCTCGCTGCCGGGAGTGGACGGACGGCCGCGCTTATCCGGACCGCGCTTTCGCATTCCGAGCGAAAATTACTCGTCCCGCCCCTGTTGCTCTGCGCTGCTTTTCGAGGGACGCCGGGAGGGAAATAAAAGAAACCGAGAAAAACGAGAAGGAAAAGAACGCGCGCGCGGCTAATTACGCAAGACCAGTATACCGTCCGCACGGCGGGCAGGGACGGGGGCGGGCGGGAGGGGTGCCGAGGCGGACGGAGAAATTCCGAGAAGCTGGAAGAACCGTAAAGATTTCAACGACCTTCTCCACCTACCTCGCGACACTGTCCTTCGTCCTTCGGGTTGGACGGAGGAAAGGGTGCGGAAGGAACGGCGACGAGGATGCGGACGCCGAGGACGACCAGGACGACGGGAGAAGAGGGAACGTCGGTCCTCCACGTCGGAGTAAATATCTTTTCGAAGAATATTCCGGGGTGGCGAGAGGAAGAGGAGGTGGAGGCAGAGGAGGAGGATGAGGAGGAGGAGGAGGAGGAGGGAGATGCGACCGGTGCGGCGGATGCGTTCGTGGCCGGTGGCCCGCGTCCGGTAGAAACGGTGAACGGTGCACCGGCTTAAGGCCCGTGGAATTATCCTCCTGTAAACACCTACCTAATTAAGATTGGAACATTTTAACGTCCTGCTCGGGGACCCCAATAAACCGCCTAACGTACAGCCAGTTTGTTAGGCGCTTATGGGATCGTTTAATTAATATTGGCGTCGGAGCAGCGCGGCCGGCTCGAACGACCGACCACCTCCGGCGCCTCGATGTCTTGCCCCCGTACACTCGCGACTTGCGCCGTCTAACGCGCACCACCGGTGTCCGCTTCCAGTTTCCTCTCCCCGCCGGCGAGGTTTCCTTTCCTACCGGCGTCGAACGTGTTTCCTTTATTCCCGTCGACGCGCCCGTTCCTCGCCGACCGCGCGGCATCCGTTTCGCCGGTCTCCCTCCGGGAGAAACCGAACGATCTTGAACTTCCAACGAGCCAAAAGGCAACGAGGAAATGTCTGGATCGTCGACGAGCCCGCGGAAACAGCGAAAAAGGATGACGCCGACGGTAAGGGGGGCAGGCGAGGAGGAAAAAGCCACGGGGACAGCGCGCGGCCCTTGACTCTCCCTCGGGCCCGGTGCGACGAGGGCGAGCAGGACGATTAATCACGGTCGCGTTTTGCGGTTTTGTCGCGCGTCACGACCCACGTGCGTTCCGCGGGCCCCATTGTTCCGTGTCTAATCGTTCCAGGAACGGTGCCGAACGATCGTCCTCCGTGGGAGAGTCTCGCTCGCGCGCCCTCCGCTCACTCCGGATGTCCGCGGACAACCCCCGGCTCGTTTCTCCTGCCGCTTTACGAGCTTCCGACCCAGCGCAGCGCGTTGCTTTTCACCGTGCGTGCTCGGACCGATTGAAAAATCATGCGGCTGTCGCCGGACCCGGTGTTCCCGTGAAACTCCGCAGCCTTTGGTGCGTTCGCATTGTGCGAGTCCAACCCTTTCAGCGCCGCGGTCGTTTATGAGCGTTTTAGACGCCAGCGCGGACCACGGATGCATTCGTTGAATGATCCTTATTCTTTCCGTTTCATACGATCGAACAGAGTTAGAAGAATGCTCCGTCTTTGACAAGTACTGCTAACTTCCAGGACTTTAGCTGATATTCGATCGAAGAGTCAAAGTGTATCTCATCCTTTTTAACACGTCCCGCGCACCGCTCGAGAGGGAAGGGGAAAAGAAGGGGCGAATAAGCGCGCAAACTCGGTAATCGATAAATCGAGCATCGTTCCGTAGCCGCGATGTTTTCATTAAGCCGGTAATGACCTGTACGGAGCGTCTCCGCCGGGTGAAATTGAATTACCACCGAAAGATCTCGCCTCTGCTGCTCCCCCTGGAAACAGGAGAAGAGAGGCGGGCCGGGAACGACGAAAATGGCGGCCGGATTGTACGAACCCGGCCGATGTTCTGGTACGCGGTGCGCTCGGTAACGTCCGGGACCAATTTTGGAAGGGGGCCATTTTTCCCTCAAAGGGGAACGTCGACGGCAGCCGAAAATTACCCCGGTTGGACCACCCAGCCGGCTTCGAGCAGACCAATCTCCTGGCCATGGGCTAATCGAGTCCGGACGGTCCGGTCCGGATCGCTGGTGGGGCTAATTGCAGCTCACCACCTTCGTACCCTCCAGAGGTCGACCTCTCTATTAAGAGACCTTTTACGCTGCCTCTTCTCGCGCGGCCCGCTCCTCTGCCGCGTCACGTATTAAATTGGAGGGTGTAGGCGAGATCCTAAACTTTTTACTTAACCCCTCCGAACGACTTTCCTCGGGCTCGCGAGGACCCTCGATCCTCGATTGCCCGCCGATCGGCCCGTCCACCCTTCCTCCGGCGGAACCGAAACGCGGCGCGATCTTCTGCCACCTTCCCGCGCGAGATTCGACTCCGTCTACTTGTACAGTAGAATTACTCCGTGTAAAACTTCTCGGTGATTCGGAACGATTCTTGGCTCTCTACAGCGATCGCTATAGTCTCAGAGAACTATCGAAACGTTTAATCGAGGGGATCGATGAGAAATAGGCCGTTGGAAAGTACCGCTTCGACTCTAAATGCAAGAACTGCAGTATTTTTGAAACGCTCAAGATTTCTTAGACGTTTGTTCTCCTAAAGGGAGGTGGAACAATCAAGTCTCGAACAGGATGGGGTCCTTTCCGAGCGTCGGAAAAAAAAGCCGATTCCGAGCGAGTCGTGTCCGACCCGAATATTCGGCCGGTCGGACCACGCGCTAATTTTCACGTCTAATAAACGGTGCGCGCATCCACGGAGGGAAAAAGATTTCTCTGCGGGTTTATGGCTTCCGCTATCGTCGAAACGCGGCGGCGGCGGCGGCGGCCGCTGCGCGATACGAGTCGAGGCGAGGCGAGACGAGACGAGACGGCGCGACGCGACGCGCGCCTCCTTTCCGGCTTTATGACGATGCGAAATTCCTCTCCCCGGTCTCGCCGTAAAACTATTTTATAGGAGATGTAGACACCGGTTGTTTATTGCTCGCGCGACCTCTCCCGTGTACAAGGTCGAATTACAGCTAAAAGTCTGTGTTCTACAAGACGCGTTAATATACGAGACCTCCTAACTTCTCAACGTTCCGCCGACTTCCCCTCCATACTTTACCGTCCTGTTCGCCGGCCTCGCTCCGACCACGCGTCTACCGCGTTCGACGCGTCCCTCCGCCGTCGTGTTTCCTTGCGGGAACCGCGAGACTCTTACCTTGACGCTTTCGCGGTCCGCCGAGAAGACGAATCGCCGGCCTATCCGGCTGGAACAATCCGCCAGCCCTGACCGCTCTTCCTATGGATCAATGCTGCGAGACTCCGAGACGGTGATGTATCGCCACGCGGAACGGGATCATTGCAATTGCATCGGGAGTAACGAACGAGAAGTCGGCCGAGGATACACGCTTTTATTCGCATTTTACGGTGCACAATGTATAAACGATTTGTTCGGTCTCAGTCTTATGTACAGAAACATGTACGCGGCGTACGCAAGCAACGGGAGTAACGGGGAACGGGTCGCGTTCAGGTACTCCTCGTTGCACGGGAGAAGACCCGTGGACGACGCAAGAGGTTACGTCGAGGGTTTGATCGGTCACGCGTAACCGTGTCCACGAAATTAGTATCGAAAACGAGACGAGCAAAGCCGATCAACTGGATTCCTTCCAGAGGTCTCCTCCCACGCAACGAGGAGTAGGCGTTCCCCTGGAACTCGGGCGAAGGACGCAAGCAGGGAAGCTTAAAGAGAATCATTCCGCGCGCGAAACGAAAGAGAAACGCTTAAAAAACGAACAGCTGGAGATACCTGGAAAGCTTCGAGCAGCGGGGGACGAACGAACGGTCCTCCCGCTGGTAACGCGCGACTCGATCCGCGCGACGCGTATATTACAACAGTGCTTATCCTAGAGCGCGAGCCTGGAACACGCCCGGGCCCATCAGCGGCAGGTGTTGATCGTCTTCTTGACCAAGCAGCTCTTGCAGGTGACCTCGCAGCACCACCGGAACCTGCACTCGCAGTTGATCTTCTCCTTGACGATCCGGGTGTCGTATCCCCTGCCACAGCAGAGCAGCTCGCAGCCGTCGACCCCCTGGCTGGTGGAGTTGCAGCGGCGACCCTGGGTGCCCAGGGAGCCCGTCTTCCTGTTCAGCTTGCAGAAGTCGGGCGAGTCCTCGCTGTAGATCAGATCGAACCGATCCGGCGGCTTGATGGTCGGCCCCTCGGTGATGAAGCTGTGCCCGTCGTTGCTCGGTATCACCTTCGCCGCGCCGTCGAACGACTCCTTCAGCCGGTTCCCGACGTCGCGGAACGGCGGCATCTTCCGCCAGCAGGTGCGAACCGTGCACGAGCCGGACAGCCCGTGACACTTGCACTCCGTCCTCATGAAGTCGCGCACCGCCTGAATCAAACAGTGAAATTCGTCGCGGAAACCGTGCCAGATCCGTGGAGCGACGCTCGCCGGTTCGACGAGCGGCACCGGGAGGGGTAACAAGGGTGCGGGTTGCATACCAGACGACCAGCGTCGTTGTTGTGCAGCTTGACCAGCGTCTTGATGTCGCTGCGCTTTCGGTACGGCGCGTCCATGAACTCCCGCGACTTTTTGAATCCGAACTTCACGTTGTCCCCGCAGCCGCCCCATTCCCAATCGCCCTCCGTTGGCAGGCTCTTCTCGAGGTCAGCGGTGGGGGCGAATTTCCCCAGGCGATTACCTGCACAAGGTTCAGAGACTCGCGAGATGGATCGAGCGTCCACGCGTTTCAGCCACCGATCGTCGGGACGCGAATCTCGGTCGTTCGAATCGTCAATATCTCCCGTGTCTCGCGTGACATTTTCCAAGCGTACACGCGACTCTATAGACCTCGTAGCAACTCCAACGATTGCTACTGTCGCTAGCAATCATACGAATCCCCAGCAACGGGAGCTAACAAAGAAGACTCACCTTTCGAAGTCATCTTGTCGCAGGAACACTCGACGAGGTGGCCCATGGTGCAAGCCCTGGTGACGGCGTAAGTAACGCCGGCCGCAGTGATGGCGTTCACGAAACCCGTCTCCCTGGTATCTGGAACGAAACGACGAATCCCGGTGAAAACCGCGCAATAGGTCAGCGTAGATCGCTTTCCGGCAAGGGAGAAACGTGTCCGCGGAGGAGAAACGCAGGACATTATCAAGGATCTCGAGATCACGAGCGCGCGTCCGAACGCGTCCGACGATTCGAGGCGGACTCGGTGATCGGGAGAGCGCGGCGAAGAGGAACGGGCAAGAGGGCGAGAGGGCCGCGACGTCGGGTTTCGGTGGCGTGTGTATTCGGTTTCACCTGTCACGTCTCCACTCCATCATTAGGCGGACAATGTGCCCCGGAGTTCCACCCCTTTTCAAAACGGCAGATTACCACCGCCTCCGTGCAGCGGCTCCCTGTGTCCCCTCCCTGTCTATCCGCGTCACCCATTGTCTCTCACCTGCCCGGGCATCCGGGTTTTGCAAATCCTCTCGGATCCTTTTTTTACTCCACTTCCGCGTGTCCAGGACCCTCCTCCCTCTCCCTTTCTCCAGATCCGCGCCGCGCCTCGAGAGGTTTCCTCTCTCCCTCCCCCGCCCCCGCGCCGCTGCCTCGCCCCCGGCAACCGATGTCCCCGTGGTTCCGATCGACGCTCGCGTCGCTCGACTCGCGACAGATAGAATCTCGCGGGTCCGGATTAACTTATAATCGTAACGCGGAATGCGGGGCCAATTACCGGGTTTCGTTGCGCATGGAAACGGCGGAAGGGCGCGGTGTATCGCGAGCAGATCTGCTCGAGGGAGCGATCGAATCGGCCGGCTCCGCCGCTTCCGCGCGGCGGTATCGCGACGCGAGGCAATTATCCGTTTCGAATACGCTTCGGCGACGACCGGCCGGGAATACTAATGTCGCGGATCAAAGCCCGCGCGAGGGTGTCCCGGCCGACGTCGCGGGGAAAACGTTCGACGGGGGCAAGGAGGTTCTTGTCGACGGAAGAAACTCTTGGAAGAGAATTTGCACGAACGTCGTTCGATTTCCTGCAGTGTCGTTCAGTTGGATAAAATCTGAGTTGAAATTCTAGCGGCTAATGCTGTTCGCTGGTTTCCTATCGAGGTGCAAAAACCAATCGTCCGCGAGAGTTCCCGTGATCCGTCGCGTTCGTCACTCGAATCCGCGATGTCCGTACAGGTGTGTAGGGCCTTGGCGAAAACGGTTGATCCGTGGTAACGCTGAAACCGTGCAATCCCGTGCACTCCGCGAGCAGAGCGCGCGAAACGCGAGGGAAGCGAGTCGCGGGGCGGCGCGGTCTCGCGCGAGCCAGAGAATGGGTTATACGTACGCGTTAAGCCTGGTTCTTCGGTGGTTCCCATGGATTCCAGGCGGGTATCTGCTGCGCGGATCGACGCACGGCCGGACGGACGGACGTACGAACGGACAGACGGAACGAGAAGACGCGAGCGGAGAGAGAAGCAGCCTGCCACCGCCCGCGTATCTCCCGATGCATCGCCTCACCTTTCAGTGCGTATTTAAACGATACGATAGTTTTATACGAGCGATCTGATATCGAGGTTCGAGAGCGAAAGGCTCTGGCTGGCTGCTCCCGCTGGCTCCGAGTTTGCGTCCGCCGGCAGCGCCGCGTCCCTCTTGCCTTTTGCTCCGGCGTTCCCCCGATCGCGATCGCGTCTCCCCCCGGCGGTGGTTCGCGGCCGCAGCCCCGGATCCAGCGCGTTCTCGTCGATCCTTTAACGCGACGAAATCGTTCGATCTCCGGTGCGTCGGGCCCCCGTGGTATCCCGTGAATATGAAGAAAGACGATGGCGAAAGGAGATCGATCATTAGCGGCCAGCCCGTTTGTCTCCTCGGCCCGCAGGGAAAAGGGCGCAAAAAGACAACGCGGCGGATCGCGCGGTGCGTTGAAATTCGTCGATCGGCCGATCGACGCGAGGCGCGTTTATAAGCGGCAGTCGCCGGTATCGGGGCAGAAGTTGCGTTCGCGGCGGAGAAAAGGTAAAAGAGCGTGGCGTCGGGGTCGGGGAATGTTCGAGGCGGAGAGGAGCAGCAGGTAATATAAATCACTTCGAATCAATTAGACACGAGGGATCGCGAGCCGATGATCTTGCAGTGCCGGGCTGCCAGGTGCACGGACCGCGGCCATCGTCTCGGGTCGCCCCGACGGCTCAGCCAATTATCAGCATTCCGGGGCATTATCCTCGGAGCGAGAGTTACGCCGTGTTTAATTGCGAGCGTTCTTCTTCTTCCCCTTCTTCTCCCCTTTCTTCTCACCCCTCGGCCCGTCTCCTTCCCCCGCCGGTTCTTGCGTCGACTCTGATTTTCGCGTTTACTCGCGAACCGAGGCTGGCAACCCGCGCACCGCCGGGCGAACGGGCGTCGATAGCGCGCACCCGTCTCCGATATTCGTCGCGAAACGATCGGACGATCTCCGTCGGTCCGATCGTCGATCTAGCGCGGCAACGGCGGACGGGCTTCGCCGAAAGGCACTCTCGGCGAGGCGACCGGTCGACGCACGGCTTAACGGGACGAACGGCGCGCGACTCTCGCCTGCGGATCTCCTTAAACGGCGGACGTTTCAAACTTATGTGCGAAGGGAATCCGGCGGCCGTCTCTGGAAGCGACGCAGCCTCCGACGCACGACGGCAGCCCGAAGAAGGCGGAACGTCCGATTCCGCGGGAGCCAAGGTATCACGTCGAAATTGCGGAATCGCGGAGGATCCGCGCGGCAAGAGGATCCGGCTGATTTATGGAATTTTCGCGCGCAGGCCCGGCCTCGGGGACTCCGTCGTAAATCGCCCGGTGATTAATCGGTCCGCGGGATTATGTAAGCGTGTAATTTGCGACGACGCGGT